GATACAGTGTGTCCCAGAAGTAACGTGCCAAACTTAGGGGAAGGAGGTGGGGGGTAGCTCCTGATAAACAAAAAAATTCAGGTAAATGTCACCGTTTTTGAAATATTTAATTTTTTGAATTAGAAAAAATCGTGCCTTTCCATGTGTTTTCTTTAACTGCAACTACAAACCGGGCAATACTTAGTAAATTTTTTATGTAAAATACTTCCAGATAGTTGCCTCTCCATACTCAAATGCAATGTAGTTAAAATAAATTAAGGAACTATAAAGGATGTAAGCCTGCTTCGCGTAACTACATCCATTCGTACATATGTAGATATGTTTGTATGGATATATTTATGATGAAGCAAACGGGCTTCGTTGATGTACTGATGGGCATATGTATGTACTTATGGACTGCAATGTTTTCATGTATGTACATATAATTAAATGGTTTTATATATATATATATATGTATATATGTACGTATGTACATAGGTTTGTGTATGTACATATGTTTGTGTACATGTATATATGCACATATGTAGTACAAATGAAAACAAATCTAATAAGCTGCTCGTTGATATAAATGCGAACTGTACTGATTGTCAAAAATTATGTGTTTGTTGTACATTTGTTCATGTTTGTCATTGTGCGTTTACTTTTCTAGAGTAGTTTTGTGCTCTCGCTATCTCCTTGTATTAACTCGTCCTTCGTTGGTATACTCTGATGAACATATGTATGTGAGGACGATGTATGAACGAAAGTGTACTGACGGGAAAAGTGCAGTTTTTTCTTTTTGTTTTGTTTCACATACGAATGTGGATGTGTGTTAAATTAACATTAGGGTGGTTCACCCGATAATTTAATTTAAGAATTTGATTTAGCGTGGAGGCGTAAACACATGGTAAGCAGTGGTGGTTCAGCATTTCTGAAATTTACCGTTATATGAAAAGCGTAATTTAAGACCGATTTCTAAAACTTTCAACTTCCTGCATTTGTGTGTCAAGTACAATAATTGTACCGAGTTTGGCACAAATTGATAGAACGGTTACCGAGATACACTTATGTGGTGATAAGTGGGCGATGCCTCGCCCATTTTCCATGAACGTATTTCTTGCTAAAGAATTATTGCAATTATCAATTTTAAATAAGTTAGCTTAAGTAGTTACTGATATATCGACGATTTCGTATTTCTCTAAATTACGGTTATTTTTTTCGGTCGTTTGGTATGTTTTACCAAGACCAACAAGTGTGTCAAATTTTGGCAGAAATTGGTGGAGCGGTTACCAAGATATACACATGTAATCATAAGTGGGCGTGGCTACGCCCATTTTCAAAAAAATGTTAATATTCTTATTTTAAGCCTAAAGATCATTGTAGATATCAATTTTGAGTGAATAAGCTTCAGTAGTTACTAAGAAATCGCAGTTTTCGTATTTCTGAAAACTACCATTTAATGGGAGGTAGGCGTGGTTATTGGCCAATTTTTCTCATTTTCAATACCATCCGTCATACGCTCAAAACGTACCCAGTTTCGTTAAGATATCTTAATTTTTACTGGAGTTATCGTGGGCACAGACGGACGGACAGACAGTCATCGCTTAATCGATTTATTTTTTCATTCTGAGCATTTATGTATACAAAAAAAGAAGTGCGTAAGAACGACAGAGAGCTGTTAGTTTCTGCTAGTTTTTTTGGGTTAAGAATCGCTTTCCAGCATAAAGCTAGTGATAAACAATTTTTATTCACCTCATAGCTGTCAAACATTTGCTATCCAGAGTACTTTTCTATCAATTGGCACAGGCCCCATGAGACGAAATTCCCAATTCTGTATTTTCTGTCGAACAGAGTTTTGCTTTCGATGGTGTAGCCAAGTGTTAGAAAATTGTGAAAAATGTATGCAGTTCTAACGCCTTTAATACTAAACACAAGCTCGAAAGGCTGGTCAATACTAATACACAGTTGGCACGATCTCTGAGAATAAATAAATAAAATATTTTAAAGAGATTTAGCTCACAAATGCCTAATTAGATAGTCGATAATTTTAATAATCTGTAGAAAAATTTCTTAAATTTATTTTATGTCAAAAAATATTCGAAAGACTACACTTAAAACTCTCTTAAACATTTTCTACTCCTGGCCAGGTTACTATGTTCTCATCCTCTGACGAGTCTTTGAGCCAGAGCTCCGTTTTACACATTTATACCACGTGTTGAATCATAGGCCCCTATTGCGAGTGTCGACTGGCAGTAGAATAGAAATTTGTCGATCGAGTCGGATCATTTTTTATTTTGCTATTGTGTAACTTGATCGATAAAAATGTATACTATTGTGAATGGTTGACTGAATTGTAAACAGCTGTTTGTTTGTTTACATTTGTTTCTTTAGTCTTTCATTTACATCATTTTTTAAATAATTGCTTTTATTATAAAATTTAAAAAATGGATACGGTTGAAATATGGTTTAGTGATGAGGAAGACGATGTGGAAGCTAATAGATTAGTAGAGTAGGCTAAAGCAAGGAGGGAATTGCGAGATTCGTCGGATCCCTTGGAGTTGGAAGATGAAGTGTATGTATATATGTGAATTTTATGAATAGAAGTTGCGTTCCAGATGCTTCACGGTTTGTCGGTTTTACAGGATTTGCAGAAAAAGCTGTTTTCCTCATTAATAAACTTTATGGAAGTTTAAGAAATATGGTACGGTTTAGCTATTTGTTCAATGATGTTGGGTATTTGTGTCCAAACGCATGACCCGAGATTAAAAACTTTAACATACAAGTGTAGTGAAAGAATTAAACTTTAATTTANGACGAAATTATCACAAGTTGGTTATCAGGCGATTTGAAAAAAAAATAAACTAAAAAAAAAATTAACTAAAAATATTGTGAAATTAAGAAAAAAGCGACAGATAGAAATGTTGTAGT